CCCCCCTTCCCCTAATTCCCTTTACAGTCAATGGAATCCTCGATTCGCCACTGCAATAAACATACCAATTGTCTTATGCTTCAAGTTTTCATAAAGTTATATCATGATAAACATGTTATAATAGAGTTATATCATGATAAACATGTTATAATAGAGTTATATCATGATTAACATGTTATAATAAAGTTACATCATGATAAACATGTTAAAATAGAGTTATATCATGATAAACATGTTATAATAGAGTTACATCATGATAAACATGTTATAATAGAGTTATATCATGATAAACATGTTATAATAGAGTTATATCATGATAAACATGTTATAATAGAGTTATATCATGATTAACATGTTATAATAAAGTTACATCATGATAAACATGTTATAATAGAGTTATATCATGATAAACATGTTATAATAAAGTTACATCATGATAAACATGTTAAAATAGAGTTATATCATGATAAACATGTTATAATAGAGTTATATCATGATAAACATGTTATAATAGAGTTATATCATGATTAACATGTTATAATAAAGTTACATCATGATAAACATGTTATAATAGAGGTATATCATGATAAACATGTTATAATAAAGTTACATCATGATAAACATGTTAAAATAGAGTTACAACATGATAAACATGTTATAATAGAGGTATATCATGATAAACATGTTATAATAAAGTTACATCATGATAAACATGTTATAATAGAGTTATATCATGATAAACATGTTATAATAGAGTTATATCATGATAAACATGTTATAATAGAGTTATATCATGATAAACATGTTATAATAGAGTTATATCATGATTAACATGTTATAATAAAGTTATATCATGATAAACATGTTATAATAGAGTTATATCATGATAAACATGTTATAATAGAGTTATATCATGATAAACATGTTATAATAGAGTTATATCATGATAAACATGTTATATTAGAGTTATATCATGATAAACATGTTATAATAGAGTTATATCATGATAAACATGTTATACCAGAGTTATATCAAAACAAATTATTTTACATGTTTTAATTATTGACAGGTTTTTTCTGCTAGAAGATATTCAGTAACGATTTCAGTATTCCGATCAGATAGGTTGTCCAGAGTAACGTTATACAACACACAAAAGTCTGCTAAACCAGGTCGATAATTGAACATCAGACATTCATTCGTCTCGGAACAATTTGAAATACATTGGTTCAGATAATTACCATCAATCGGATTAAAAAGCACGGCGATGACTGGTGGTGGATATAGAACACAACCAGAAGCATCAACAACAAACGTGGAACATTGGGTATCGTTATTACATCTTTCATTACATTCAGGTTTTTTTACATTGAATAAATAAGTCGGATTTCCAGAATCAATTTTTATATCATTTGTATACTTGTAATCACAATCTAAAATATATAATAAGTAATTCCTTAATCATAATTTTATATGGCAACAGATAATCAGGGTTGACAAGTTTAGGGGGTTCTCTCTCGGGAAAAGATAACGAATTGTACGATAGTGAAATCTAAAGTAGAATGCTATGAAACCTCTTGTCATTTTAATTCGTATAATAGTATAAATATTTGGTAGGGGTGGTTTACAAGGCTCAAACGTTTTTTTACTGTCGCCCTAAGTAAGATACTTGTATTACAATGTTATAGGGATTGTAAAGAGGTTTCTAAATCGTTTTTGAGTATCGGTGTAACTGCTTGCATCGACGTGACCCATTCCAATCTCAGTCAGACAACTACTTTGGATATTATAACCAGTTGTAAGGATAGTGACGTTATAATCTTTTAAGATTTTCCAAATTTGCAGGAATAACAGACTTAAATATTATTATATACTATATTAGAAGTCATGAATCGTCCTAATACACATAAAGAAGCTAAATAGCCTTTTTCCAACTCTTTTTTTATACTCATTTTGTAAAAGTGTTCACAATAAACAGAAAACAAATGATCAAAGAACTGAACTTTATAAAAACAAATTAAACAAGTTCATTCGCACAAAGACAATGGTATAAAGTGTAAAATGTCACCATGTTAAATTTAAACTGAATTCTTGTAGAAAATATAACTATCATACCTTGAGGTTCAGGTTCACAATGTGGTTCTTGATATTTCCACTCTCCATCTACACAACTTATTAGTTGCTTCATGTTGAAACCTTTCTTACAGGTAACACTGACATCAACACAATTGTCGTCCTTGTTGAAATATGTGTTTTTAACGTCAGGATAAGTTGAGCAATCTGAAATTATTATTTTGTTATCTATTATTTTTAATATTAAAGACAAACCAAAAATCCCGAATGATCAGATTTTTTATAAGATCTCATACATGAAGCCAAGTCTATTTTCCTTTACAAAACAAGTATCATTTCCATTAGCTATTAGCCTAGACATTGACATTGCCCTCCACAAAACAAGTATCGTGGCAGGTGTTACAACAAGGAAGGGCATTCTCATTCTTTCAGAACGGCTGATGTCGCTCAGTGTCTGCATTGAACAACCCCGCAATCCTTTTGAAGAATCCAAATAGCTTGGTTTCCAATATTTCAATGTACAATGTCGATGTTGACGATTAAAAATAGTTTAATTCAAATACAATACCATAGCTAATTTTTCAAATATGGTTGCCGTATTAACATATTACGGATTCTATAATGCTAAAGAACATAATCCACAAATCAAAAGATAGCTTGCCAGGCAAGGTAACATACGCCCTCTAGCAGTTGTCGGAAATGATAATTGAATCTTGAATGGCAGACAAATGAATCTTCTCATTTTAAAGATCTTCATCCTGCATTTGTAGTATATATTTATATATATATATATTTATACTGTTAGTTATTTACGCAGTTTTTCACAACATATTCATGTGAACAAGTTTTTGAGTTTTATGTTGTGAAAATCTCAGCATAAATAACTGACAGTAAATTATATATAAATAAATTCAAAATAAAAATTCATGATGAAGATCTTTAAAATGTTCACAACATATAACTCAAAAACTTGACAAATTTTTAAGTCAATGGCAATAAAAAAGAGATCGTTCATCGAAAAATCGTCAAATTTGAATCAGTTGAAGATATCATAAATATAATTGATAACTCCAAAATTCATTTAAATCAGATAAAAACTGTTGACGGACCGACAGACGTCCACATTTCAAATGTCAAATATCTTATATGAGCCGTAATGTTGCTGACTATAAGTCTTTCAATCATATTTAAAAAAAAAATCACGTACATGTACCATTATATTATAAAAAAATATTTACCGGCATCAATAAGAATCAGCGTTGTTACTGCTAATAACAATACAGAACACAAGAGGTTATTCATATTTCTAGATAGATGACTCAACAAGATTCTTCACTCTTAGAAACAATGTTGTATGTTAGAGTTCATTCGGAAATTTATACTAAAGTGTAAGCCTCCTATTGAACAGATGCTAACTTGACACCTGTCAATCGAAATCATGTTTTCGCCAATCTTTTCATCGACAGAATTCTAAAGCCCGGTTCGCTGGGGCTAATTTTCCTATCAATCTGAATCAGTAATGTGAACATGACTTTTTACGAAAAAGCTGTTGTTTATTCAAATGAATTTGAAAAAATAAAAATAAAAGGAATATATGTGGCAGGAATGATGAGATATTACTTTATAACTCAAGTGAATTATTTATTCAACTCAAATTTCAAATGATACACACAATGTATACCCAACATCGCAGAACACTCATAGATAAAAATGAATTCGGTTGTGGAAAAAATTGTTGATACTACCAAAATAGTTCTAACAAAAATCTAAATCTAACATCACTACTCTTAGACTGAGTATGGTTAGTGACGTCATAGCGCAACCTGGACATAATTGTAACATCACTCCTGTTAGACTCAGTATGGTTAGTAATGTCATAGCACAACCTGGACACACTAGTAACATCACTACTGTTAGACTCAGTATGGTTAGTAATGCCATAGCACAACCTGGACACACTAGTTACATCACTACTGTTAGACTCAGTATGGTTAGTGATGTCATAGCACAACCTGGACACACTAGTTACATCACCCCTGTTAGACTCAGTATGGTTAGTGATGTCATAGCACAACCTGGGCACACTAGTTACATCACTCCTGTTAGACTCAGTATGGTTAGTGATGTCATAGCACAACCTGGGCACACTAGTAACATCACTCCTGTTAGACTCAGTATCGTTAGTGATGTCATAGCACAACCTGGGCACACTAGTTACATCACTACTGTTAGACTCAGTATGGTTAGTGATGTCATAGCACAACCTGGACACACTAGTTACATCACTGCTGTTAGACTCAGTATGGTTAGTAATGTCATAGCACAACCTGGGCACACTAGTAACATCACTCCTGTTAGACTCAGTATTGTTAGTAATGTCATAGCACAACCTGGACACACTAGTTACATCACTACTGTTAGACTCAGTATGGTCAGTGATATCATAGCACAACCTGGGCACACTAGTAACATCACTCCTGTTAAACTCAGTATTGTTAGTGATGTCATAGCACATCCACAGTAATAGTGGCCATTGACCCTACAAATGTCAAGGTCATCAAAGGTTAATGTCANAAATTGAAAATATGGAAATTCTAAAACCC